GCTGGCACCGCCTTCCCCCTGCCCAGGCATCCTTCCGGCTGCCATCCCCACCCTGACCCGCTGTCTCTGTTCCTGCCAGCCACACCGTGGCAGCGAGCTGGTGGGTCACTGGCATCTGTGAGCAGGCTGGGCACGCAGCACCGCTGGAAGCCGGCTCTGCCCGGACGGGAGGAAGGGAGGAGCGAGGTGGGCAAGGAAATTCACCGGAGCGCAGGAGGGCACCGAGGGGTTTCGGTTGGGGTTTCGGGGTTGCGTTTTTGTTTTGTTTTGTTTTGTTTTGTTTTTTAAAATATCTTTCTTCAAAGAAAAGAAAAGGAAAAAAGAAAAAGCCCCCATCCTGTGTCATCGTTTTTATGGGATCTGCAATTCTGGCAAAAATCTGTCTTTAATTTAGCTGTCCATATAAAAATCCTCACTGTATAATAATGAACAGATGCCATGGAATTTAAGCTGGAGCCTGGGCTCCTCCCCGCCTTCCTCCCGCGCCTGGCACCGGGCACCGGGCACCGGCTGAGTGGCACAGACTGGCACCAACGCGCCCGAAGGGTGGGCAGGGGGCGACCCGGGCTGCGCGCCAGGGCGCGGGGCTGGGGCCGCGGGCGCCCGCACAGCCGGGCGAGGGCCGCGCGCGTCTCCTGGTTTTCTCCAAAATGATCCACAGTCCAGGGTTTGGCTCTGCTTTGGTTTATGGGGCATTGTGGTTCTGAGATGTTTAAATCTAACACCGCCCTTCCCTTCACAGACACCCAGACGTTTTTGATATTTTAATTGAGTTGTTTCCAGCCTCCCGATTGGGCTCCGGGCCTCGCCCGCAGCCAGGACCGAGCGAGTTCGCAGCAAGCGGGTTCCGAACGGCGGTCCCGGTGCGCGCGCCTCCTGGGGCCGCAGAAGCTTGGGTGGGGGCCGGGGTACCCTGCTGCTACCCTGCAGGAGCCAGGACCGAGGTGGCACTGCCTTGGGCAGTGGGTGGAATGCAAAGAGAAAGCCCCTCCTACCCCCAGAGCCCAGCCTAACTCTGCAACTGTTCCCAAGGGTGAGGGGAAAATCTACAGCTAGAGCCCGGTGTCCTCTCCTGCCTCAGCCTTCCGTCCAGAAAGCAGGCGTGCGCCTAGGCAGGAGGGGTTGGTTCTGAGCCCCCTACCCCCCACCCCTCGCCTTTGATACGACTCTGGCAAGAACAGATGTCCCAAGCCGGGCCGACTGCCCAGACCCCGCCCAGCTGTGCCCTTGGCAAAGCCTTGGCTGAGGGTAGGAACTGGCACGCCGGTCCCTAAGGGGCCTTGGGCTTCCGCAGCCCCAGCGGGACCCGACCTTGCAGGCCTGGCCTCCTGGCCAGTGCAGCCTTGGGCGGGAAGTGGGAGAACCCTCTGGGAGGATCCGTTCCTAATTCAATTAATTTCAAAAAGCAGGGTGGGGGTAACTAAACCGAACCCAGAGGATGTGGAGCTGGCAGCCCTGGGCAGCCCTGGAGACTTCGAGGTCACAGCTCTAGGCTGGGGAGCAAAGCTGGGCACACGTCTCGGTGTCTCAGACCCAAAGCCCAGCCCGGCTCCCTCAGGATGGCTGCGCTCCGGCTGTCCCTCTCCTTACTCGGGGGCTAGGACAGCGGGTTCTGCCGTCCCTCCGGAGAGCCCAGCCTGGTCTCTGCCACCTACCTGCCCAGCCCGGAGGAGGTCAGGGTGAAGAGAGGTCAGCACACAGCCCACCACTCCCCACCGAGCGAAACCACCAAGAATTTTTAAAGACCCAGAACCAAGAGGCCGCAGCTGCTAGGGAATTCTAGCAGGGCGGAATTTCAAGGTTTCTCCTAGCCCAGGTGTCGCCTCTGCTCTGGGCTATGCCCATCACCTGGGTGTCCCAGCCCAGAAAGAAGAAAAAAATTTAAAAAGTGTCTTGGGCCATGCTGAGCCGGGAACCTGTGGTGACGGTGACGTGACTGAGATGGCGGCCTAAGGCCTGAGATCCCTTCCTGTGGTAGGAGAGGTCAGGCCGGGCTGGGCTGCCCCTTGCAGGTCACTCAGGAGCATCGGGAGTGGAAGTCGAGGCCGGGCTAGCCGAATCCACCTGTGCTGCATCTCCTTCCAGTTTCTTAAGAACCAAGAGGTGGAATCTAGAATCAGCCTTCACCAGCACCTCCCTGAAATCAGCAGAGTCCTCAGGACCAGGTGACTCCCTGCTGCAGGCTCTAGGGAGAGAAGGGAGCAGAGCTGTGTCCCAGGGAACGAATTCTCCTCGGCCTCTGCCCACCAGTTGGCCTGCGGCCTGGCCAGGGGAGGGGGCGAGCTGGGGGAGCAGCTGGGGCGGCCCTGTTAAGGCCCTCCTTGGACCCAGCTTCTCCCTGGGTCCTCCCTCCACTCCACCTGGAAGGCAGGGACTCTCAGTTCAGCCCTGGCCGGTACGGAGTTAAATGGGGCGGGCAAAGCGTCACCAGGTTTCCAGCCTTCCTTTCTTGCCAGATGGGCGAATGCCTGGGCTCTAGGATGTCTCTGAGACACCAAACACTGGGCCAGGGATGGGGCTGGAAAATCCTTGGGAAAAAACCCCTTTCCAGATTCTGGAACCTGGCTCCAGCCTCGGAGGTCTGCAGGGCCAGGGGTGGAGCCCAGTGGACGGTGGGCTCGCGCTGGGAGAGCTTGAGGCTGCAGGCAGAGAGAAGTCCTCTCGAGCCTTTCCTGGCTGCCCCGCCGCCTTGCTATCCTTTGCCACCGGCCCCCTCCTGCTGTCTGCGAGCTGGGCTGAGTGGGAGGGAGAGCAAGGGAGACCTGCGAGTGGGCGTCTGGGGCCGTGTGTCCACGCACATCTTCCTCTCCTGCTCATCTTACTGTCTGCAGGGAGGTTAAGGCTGGGGAGGAGGCCAGCAGAGCTGTGAGCAGAGAGCATGGGGGAAGGGACTTGAGCTGGGAAAGCGGCAGCGGGCACAGGCCCTGGGAGCTCAGGGACCCTTCCCCAAAAGGGGACTTGCTTGCCCACCCCTGCCCCAGGGGCTATGGCCCAGAGTCCTCAGCATCTGGATAGGGCCTGGAATGTGACTTGGGACCCCGAGGAGCAGGAGGGATTTGCAGGAGCCAACCAAGCCAGGGGAGCCCCACAGAGGCTTCTGCCCCAGCCACTTGGAGGCAGCCAAGCCCTGGACATCACCGTGTGCCCTGGGACCCTGCCGGGCCAGACACAAGCCCAGTTAGTGTTTTTTGCTGCAGGCTAAGAATTAGGTCCCTGGACGGCACCGAATTTCTTTCTCCCCCTCCAATCGCCCCTGCCAGGACCATACCACCCTGGGCCAGATCAGGGCGCATATCCTGTACCCCAAACTACAGCAGAGGTGCAGGAGGATAAAGATGGGCTGCTTCCTTTCTCCCAGGAAGAGGGGGACTCAGCTCTGGAAGATCCAGTCAGCAACCACCAGCGAGGAATCCTGGTGACAGGGGCTTTAGCCTGTAGCCTCACTGTTGGGACCAGGGTCGGGACTCCCCGAGAAGCTGGTGAAATTTTGAAAGAAATTCAGCAAGTGTCTGGCAAGTGCAGGAAGGGTTTTGGGCAAGGTCACAGGCTGCACTGTGCCCAGGGTCAGGGCCAGGGGTGGCCCCCTCTGCAGAGAGACATACAGAGAAACGCTGCATCAGGGTCGGTTTTAGGGTGTGGACAGCCTCGGGGTTGGTGTGCAGCCGAGCCTTGTTTCTCTACTCCTGGGGGAAACTGGGGGTTCAAGGTGAATATTTGGGAGAGCCCCTGAGTTCAAGTGCGGATCATCCAGACTGGCCTTTGGCATCAGGACTTTCCTTCCTCTTCCTCCTTAGTCAGGAGGTTGGGGGTGAGGGTGGAGGTGGGGGCTCCATCCACCACAGCACCAGCACCACAGCCCTGTTCAGTCCTGAATGGAGTGAAGGTATTTTTAGGGAAACCAGCAGCAACAGAAATAGTCCCTCCTGGGGAGCCCCTGGGGTGCCCAGGCTGGAGGTCAGAGGTCTCTGAGACCCACACGGTAGGGGGAGGGGGCATCGAGTAGGGGAGGGGAGAGAGGGTAGGGGAAAGGGAGGGGAGGGAGTTTTAGAGACCCCAGAGCAGAGCTGACCAAGTTTCCGAAGCTCAGAGAAAAGCAGTGGTGAGGCCACCTTGTCTGAGCCCTAAAGGATCCCCCAGCACCCCTGCCCGTGCGCCCCCAGCCTAAAGTGCAGGTCCCTCCATCCAGCACAGAGGAGGCATGGCCAGGAGGCAGGACACTGCCCAGACATGAACCCAGGCTTCTAACCGATCGTGCTCGCCCCACCAGGAGCCTCCTGGCACCTCTGGGATGCTCCTCCACCTTCCTCCACGCCCCCAAAACTCAACACAACTGAAGCAAAAACGTGATTCCCTCAGTCCACTGAAACACAAATTTACATTGGAAAAGGGATTTCCCCACTAATACTGCATCTTCAGGTCTTTCTATATATTTTTTAATTTAAAAATATCCTCATGTGGCTCAGATGGTTCTCTTGGTGTCGGCCCACTGGCTTTTTCTGCAGCAGTGAGCCCAGGGCTGGACAATGACCTGCTCTTCCGGCCTTGGGTCATCTTTTCAGGAATGAAAAGATACTGTTTTAAAAGGGAGTGGTGCCAGGTGTGATGGTGTTCGCCTGTCATCCCAGTACTGGAGAGGCTGAGGTAGGAGGATCACTGTGAGTTTGAGGCCAGCCTGGGATCCACAGTGAGTTCAAGGCCAGTCTGAGCTACACAGCAAGACCCTGTCTCAAAATAGATAGAGGGCGGGTGTGTCAGTGTTAGGACCCAGCGCCTAGGAACCTGCTGGCTTTTGTGCTGGGAACCTGTGTCCCCTCCGGTCCCAGAGGGGCAAGGGGAGCTGTTGTGGCCTGATAGGTTTCTGCTGGGGTTCTGTGGGATGGAAGTGCCACCCAGGAAGGTCCCGGGTCCTGGATGTGCTGCCCGCATCACCCGTGCCCAGCACAATCCTCCCACCCCTCCATGAAAGGAGGCCACCATAGAAACCGATCCATCTTCACATCTCATTTACATAAATATTTATTAATCGTCATTAAACTGAACAGAAACACGCAATGCACTTCGGGTGTCCGGCGGGAAGGTCAGATTGCGTGTGTGTTGGTGAGTGTGTGGGTGTGTCGCCTGTGGGTTTGCCTTTTATTTTGCATCCTGTATTTGGATGCCCATGCCCTGCCTCTGCTGGGGTGAGGTTCACCTCGCGCACCCCTTCTGGGGAAAGTTGCAGAGGGGCTCTCAACCTTCCCCAGCCACCCGCTGGCCCAAGCCGGGAGGACAAGGGGGGTCAAAAGCGCTCACAGCCTCCGGATGCCTGGCACCCGCCCCGACGCCGTCCTGGCCCCTACCCCAGGTTTCTGTGCCCTTGGCCTCACCCCAAGAGGGGACAGAGATGCCCGCGGGGAGGAAGAGGCAGCGGGAGCCTCCCCTGGCCCCGGACGCTCATCCGAGCTGGGCCTGTGTGTGGTGCAGTGTGGGGTGCGTGTGTGTCGCTCATGCAAACCCTCCCTCCCCGAACAGACCCCCCAACAGTTTGCCATTCCATACAAATTTGGAAACAGGTTTTTAAAAAACAGTTTGACGCACAATGGGGACGGGGCAGGGGAGGGCAGTGGCACTGGGGCCCCAAATCTCCGAGTCACTGATTGTTAAGAACCTGGGAGGGGAGGGGGCGACATGGGCCCCCACTCACCAAAGTGCACAGATCCGCGCTGGGCGGGGCGTCCCGGGCTGAGCCGGGCCGCTAGGCTCAGTCAGAACCTCCTTGCATAGATATGTGTGTCTTTATTATTATTTATTATTATTGGTAGTTTTTTTTTTTTTTTTTTTTTTTGCCTTTTATTGCTTCTAAAAATTCTTACTGCGTTTTCTCTCCGATCCGGACTCTGCGTTCGGCCTTCATCGCCTCATGTATGTTTGTTTGTTAAAAAATAAATAAATAAAAATTTAAAAATGGAAAAGGGTAAAATGGAATCTAGTTACAAATTGTCTTGGCCTCTTTCCTCTCAATCCACATCCCCTCCCGCCAAAATGAAAACTGCAAAACGCGGAGATTCAGAGTAGGGAGCGGGGAAGGTGCTCCAGGCCCAGGCTCTGCTCTCTGCTAGAAAGAGGGGCGCCGGGTCAAGGCAGCTTGGGCGTCTGTGTTTAAAATAATAACGGAAGGGGAAAGTGCACCCCACTGCTCAGCTGTCCCCTGGACAACGCCTTTGGGCTTGCAGGGAGGTGAAGGAGAAACCAAGAGAAGGGGGGGGGTCTCCAAGGAGCACGCGCGGCTAGAGGTCCCTGGAGGCGCACTCCCTGCGCGAAGAGAGCCCGAAGCCCTCGGGGACAGAAGGCGAGTTTCCCGGGAGGGAGTAGGGCGGGAGGCCCGGGAGGCCAGGCCACCCACAGCTGCAACGGACTTGCCCGCAATGCCCCGGAGCGCGCGGGCAGCAGTCCCGCTTTCCAAGCCCCCCCACCCCCGGCGCGCGCTGTGCTCTGCGCGCCGGGAGGCGCGGAGCCCCTGCCCCTGCCCCTGCCCCTGGCGGGGGCGGAGTGGCCGCTGGAGCAGAGGGGCGGGCAAAGGCGAAAGAAGAAAAAGAGGGCCCGGCGGCGGGGGTGGTGGCGCGCGAGGTCTCAGTTATGGAAAAACGCGTTGAGCTCCTCGTACATGGGGCCCCGGTCGTGGTGCAGGTGCATGTCATAGGAGAGCAGGTTCTCCGAGTGCACGGCCCCGCGCACGGCCGCCGAGCCAAACACCAGCCCGTGGCCGCCAGGCCGCGAGCCGGGCAGCGCCGAGTAGTGCATAGAGTAGTGGTAGCTCTTCTCGTGGTCCGGCGACGAGTCCTGCTTGAGCGAGAAGTTGCCGTTGAGGCAGAGCGGGGGGCTGAGCGGGCCCTCGTACTCCGAGCTGTTGTAGTCCGGGCTGGCGCCCCCGCCGCCCGCCGCCGCGTACAGCGTCTCGTAGGCGGCCGCACAGTAGCCGTGGGTCCGCAGGGCGTGCGCCGCGCCGCCGCCCAAGCCGCCCGCCGCCTGGCACTGCGCGCCCGCCAGGCGCGAGCACGGGTATGGGTAGGGGTGCACGGCGAACGGGCCCCCCGAGCCGTGGAAGCGGCCCGTACCGTCGGCTCCCTGCTCGGTGAGGAAGTTGCGCGAGTTGAGCTGCAGGCAGCCGGCCACCAGGTTGGTAGTGGGCTGTGACAGGCCCTTGCACAGGGTCTGCACGTAGGACACCAGGTCTGGCCGCTTGCCGGAGCGCAGGATCTCCGAGAGCGCCCAGATGTAGTTCTTGGCCAGGCGCAGCGTCTCGATCTTGGAGAGCTTCTGCGTCTTGGAGTAGCAGGGCACCACCTTGCGCAGGTTGTCCAGCGCCGCGTTCAGGTCGTGCATGCGGTTGCGCTCGCGCGCATTCGCCTTCTGCCGCCGCAGCTTGGAGCGCTCCAGGCGCGCTTTGGTCATCTTGCGCTTCTTGGGCCCGCGCTTCTTGGGCCGCTCGCCCTCCGCCTCGTCCAGCCCTTCTTCCTCCTCCTCCTCCTCTTCTTCCTCGCCGCCCAGCTCGCCTTCCTCCTTAATCTCGGCCAGCGCGGCCTCGGGCACCTCCTCTCCGCGCAGGGGCAACGGCTTGGCGGCCCTCGCGGGCCCCGGAGCCCCCGGCCCGGGCGCAGGCGGCGGCTGCTGCGGCGGCGGTGGCGCTTCGCCCTTGTCGCTCCTGGGCTCCTCGTCGTCGCCGTCGCCCCAGCTGGAGAACTTGGGCACGTCTGAGAGGAGGCCAGGCTCGCTGAACAGGCGGGTCAGCATGGTGCCTGCGGGCGCCCCAGGGCGCGGGGGGGGGGGGACAGAGAAGGCGCAAAGTGAAGGCGCGCTGGGGTCCCGGCTCCCCCCCCCCCCGCGCGCCCCGGCCTCCCGCACTCAGAGTCTCCAATGGGCTGCGGCCTAGGTCCAGGACGCCCCCTCCTCCCCCGCCGCCCTCTCCTTCTTCTCCTCCCGCTGCAGCCCCGCCCAGGCCGGCCTTGGCTCAGGCCGACTCCCCGAACCAGACCCGGCTCCGCCCCTCCTGGGGATAAGGGTCCCCCAGTCGCCAAGTCCTTCCCGGGGTCCGAGTGGAGACCTGGTGGGGGCGCCAGGAACCCGATTCCCTGGCGGTGGGGGCGGCGTGCCCGCCCCAACCATGCGCGCTCCCGGAGGTGCAGAGGGGCTGGGCGGGTGCGGATGGTGACAGCGGCCCCTCGCCTGGGCCTCTGGCCCGGCTCCCCGACCTCCCACCCACTGGGGGTACCCCGCATTCCTAATCCAATTTGCAAGTTGGCCGCATGCCGCCCCCGCCCCCAGCCCGATCCGGATGGGGGACCCCTTCCTCGGCCCTGCGCGCCCCACTCTCTCGCGCCGGCCCAGGCGGGCAGCGGGGACTGGGGCGCGGGGTGCAGGGGTGGGGACTGAAGCTACCCCTTCCGTGTTCCCTGCGGCTAGGGACCCCCCCTGCGTACCTCCAGCCCCTCCCTCCCCCAGGGCTCTTCAGATCTCGTTGTATTTCGAGATGGATGGGAAGAAAATCCAAATTTGTTTGCTTGCATCTCTTTTTTGTGTGGTGGTGGGGAAAGGTCGCGGGGTTCCTTCGAGGGGGGGACAGCTTTGAGGGTCTCCACCTCGGCTTCCACGCGCCCCCACACCACGATCCTGCCTCTCTCCACCACCTCCAACCCCAGCGAAGGCAGAAACCCTCCCTCCGCAGCCCCCCAGCTGCAGCTTTTGGGGTCGGGGTGGGGTGGGGGAATCCAGGGCGCTTCCGCTGGACGCGCACCCCAGGAAGGGGGGGCTCTCGTCCCGGAAAGGGAAGGCTTTGGGGACCCTGATGCCCGAGGCAGCCCCCCACCCCACCCTTGGCAGGTCAGACCCAGCTCCCTCTCGGACAACTTACCTCGGAGAGGAGTCGGGAAAAGGGGGAGGGGGAGGGGGCGAGAAGAGAGGGGGGAAGCGGGGTCCGCGCGCCTAGTTCATTGTTCCCCCATCTCGGCGGCGGCGGCGGCGGGCGCGGGGGCAACGGCTCCTCAAGGCGGCGGGCGCCGGCGTCTTCAGCGCGCCGTGTGAGCCGCGGAGCGAGTGTGGCATCTCTACCAGGCGGGGTACCAGCCTCGCTGCCAGGCCATATGGGCTTGGCACGTCACGGGCAGCAGCTATCACATGAGAGACGGTGATTGGCATGCGTCTGCATTGGGGGAGAGCCGGCTCCCCCGGGACCCGCCGCCATCTGTCACTCTCTACTCCAAAAAAAAAAAAATTAAATAAATAAAGGAAATAAATAAATATCTCTGCCGCCCTCCCCTCCCCTCGGCTCCCCTCCCCGCTCAACGCAGGGAAAGCGGGGACGGAGGGGAGGGGGAGGGGTTGCCCTCCCCCCAAAGACAGAGAGGGGGTCCCCCCCCACACCACATGGGAACAATGGCTCTGGCCAGGCTGGAAACGGGAGGGTGGCTTTTGCGGTGGCCTCCAGTTTTTCTAGGCGCCTTCCGGGGTCCTGGCCCGGCCCCTTCCTCTCCTGCAGCCCCCTAAGGTGGGTCAGCAGCCGGCCCTGGGGTGTGTGGAGCAGGGCCCTCCGTCCTCAGGCCCCTCGGCCCCTGGAGGGTCTCCTGCACCACAAAGGGACAGCTGAGGCCCCTTGCAGGGTGGGCGCGGGGCGGCCGGGCCGAGTCCCATAGGTAGCGCTGGCACCGCGCCAGAGCGCCGGCCCGGCCGCCCCTCCCCCACGGCCTCCCTCCCGCACATCTGTGGCAGAACGGAATTCAGACCCGGGAGACAGAGGGGAAGAGGGTGGCCTGCGTGTGCGCGTGGGACCCGGGCAGCCAGGGGAACCTGAGATGCTTTCCTGGGTGCCAGGGGCACGGGGTGGAGGGAGGGGTGATGTTGGGTGGGGGTGGGGATGAGCCCACGCACCCTCCCCGCCATCGGGACGAAGAGCCAGCCGGTGTCAGTCTGGATTTCTAACCTAGAAAACTTGTCCCCTTCCTGTCCTTACCATCTCCTCCCCCTGCTGGACAGGTGACAGAGGTGACAAGCGAGGGACAGGACAGCGGCTTCCTCTCCCAGCCCGCTGCCTGGGCCCAGGAGGGAGGTGGGGGAGGCCAGGCCCGCACTGTCTACTCTCCCCTGCGCAAAACCTGCAGGCACTGTCGCTCGGGTCCCAGGAGCAGCCGCGAGGGGTCAGACAGGTGTCGGTGAGGGCCACAGCGAGAGCAAAAGGCAGGCGCAGGCTGAAGGATGCAAACGCTTGCACACACACATGTGAGCGTGCACGCACACCTGTTCCTCCCCCCTCTCCGTGCGGAAAATGGATCTACACCCCCTGTGAGTGTGAACAAGCTCATTACCACCAGCAGCAGGCCAGAGATTCTGACCCCACTTGGACTTCGCGATTGGCACACGCTTGGGGTTACCCCTGTGCCAGGCGCCATGAGGCCCCCAGAGCTGCATCCTCTCTCTCCTATCAGATTCCTCCAGGGCCCTGGGCTGAGGAGACAGATGGAACCGGGCCCTGTGCACACAGGACGCTGTGGCCCATGGGGCCTTGGGGACAGACAGAGGGACAGATGGATGGATGAGACTGGTCTTGGCCAAGAGCTAGAGTTCAGAATGCATTCTATTGGGGTCCCAAGAGGGCCAGGGGCTGGCCTGGGGCACATGGGATGAGCCTGCTGGGTCTAGAACCCAAGTACTAGGCTCTAGGCCAGTGGGCCCGGCTCTCTGCCACCTGTGGGGCCTCGCTGGAAGGTGACTCCTACTCATGGCAAAGGCAGAAGGCACCATGCCCTTTGAGATGATGGTTCACACCTGTTTTCCCAGTACTCGTACTCGGGAAGCTGAGGCAGGAGGATCCTTGCAAATTTGAGACCAGCCTGGGCTACAGAGTGAGCTCTAGGCCAGCCTGAACTGCATAGTGAGACCCTGTCTCAAAAAGATTAAAAAAAAAAAAAAAAGAGTAGGCCTCTAGGTGGGTGGGTACTCTTTGATTTGAGGCCCCCCTCGAAGAAGGCTTTACTATCCCTTTCTGGGGTCCCCAATCCTGCTGAGTGGGCCTTCTTGAGACCCTGGCTGTATGATATCCTGGCTACAGGCTCCAAGCTTCCCAGACCTGACCACTGCTGCTTTCCAGCTTCTGAAGCTTGCTCAATGCCTTGAGCCAGCTGGGCAATCTCTGTAAGCCTCGATTTCCCTGTCTACATAATGGGGACACTGTTGCTTCTTCTTCCTAGGGCTGCTGTTGTCATTTGGCAGCAGCACAGTGCACGCCACAAATGCTGGCTCTTGTTTTTATTAAGGCGCTTTGTAACGTGTTTCACAATATTAATTTCTTGCGCCTGCCTCCCCCAGCACACATGCAGGATGGCTGTGTGAGAAGTGAGCTTCTATGGATTCCTGGGGGAGCAAGTGGATGGGGACGGGGAGGCCGGTGAGCCCCCCCTGGGGTCTCGCAGGCCTTGGAGGGAGGGCCGGACCTTGGTCAGATTGGGGGGAAGCCCCACAGAGGCCCCTACACCTCCATCAGGCATGACCTCAGCTCTCTGGGCCCCCACAGGAGAACCCCCGAGCCGAATGTCTCCCTCTCAGCCGCCTCCTGCCTCTTCCTTCAGAAAAATGGAACAAGTTTTTCTCACTCAACACATTTCAACTTTTTTTTTTTTTAGAAGATACAATAAAAAGCAGGGGAAACTGGAACAGAGGGAGGTGTGGGCTGGGCCTGCCTCAGACATGGGCCGCCAAGGGGTGCCACACGTGTGTCCGTGTCACACCAACGAGTGTGAACACGGGGGGGGGGACCGGCATACACCCCTCTGCACACCCAGAGAGGCTGAGATGCAGCGATGGAGAGCGAGAAAGAGCCAGAAATGGAAGGAAGGAGATGGGAGGAGAAGGACACCCAGAGATGCCATCTGTTCCTCCCCGTGGCATTGGGGGAAGGGAGTTGGTGAGGGGCCTGGTCCCCTCCAGGCCTTGGAGAGAATCAAGGAGCGTGGTGGGCACCCCAGTCAGGCCTAGGAGACCCCCCTTTTCTGTGCCCATGCGTCCTAGAGGGAGCAGGGAGAAAGGGGCTGAGGGTTCCCATGGAGACATGGCCCCTTCCCAGGGGAGGCCACAGGCTGGGCACCTAAAATGGCTGCCTTGGAAGGGCAGCGGCCATTTTGTTCGGCTCCAGTCCTGAGGTGCAGAGGTGAAGGGAAACGGGTTCGGGGTGGGGGGGCTGAGGGGGGAAAGGGAGGCACCAAGAGGGTGAGAGGGCGCTGAGAGGGTGAGGGCAGCCAGGGAGCTACAGAGAGGGGAGCTGGAGGGAGGAGATGGTCATTCCCGAGCAGGCTAGGGGCCGAGCTCAAGGTGAGGAAGAATGTTCTAGAACACTTGCTCTCACCACACCCCATGCTCCCCCTAATACAACCCATCCCTACATGAGTCTGCCTGCTCCTGCGCATTCTGACATGTGGCCTCCCAATAACGTGAGTGGGCACAAGTGTGCAGAGAGGTACCAGGCTACTGGAGTGCAGGTGGGACCCGTCAAGGTGTCACCCCCTGTCACCACAGCCAGACCCCCAGCTCTGGGGCCTTGATGGCCAGGAGGGGGGCAGAAAGTGGGCATGAGGACACCTGAGGAGGCCCCAGCAGGGGAGATACTCAGGGGGGTCCTGTGGGCACCCCTTGCCCGCCCACACCCCCTCCGCCCCTCCCCCTCCACAGTGAGCCTGCGCCGGGCGCGCCAGATGGTGGGGCTGAGGCGACGTTGCCGGGAGGTGAGGGCTGGCACGGGCATGTGCGGCTGCGTGCCGAGCGGTGCCACCCGGCGGGGGAGGGGCGGGCATGGCCCCCGCCGCCTGGCCATCTCGGTCCTGACTGCCCATTACCTAGGGCTGCCCCGTCCTGGCCTCCCCTGTCCCCACTCCTGTGGATAGGGTGGCTCCTATCAGCTGAGACCCCAGGTCAGACCTGGCCTCTGCATCCTGCACTCCCCCACCCAGGACAAAGGACCACAGACACCTTCCTGTCCCCATCACCATTCAGCAGGCAGCTGGCCCCTCAGGGGTGCCCTGGCTCACAACATGGCATGACCTTTTTCCCCAGCTCCTCTGCCTGCTGGCCTTGAGCCTGCTCCCTGGAGAAGGGCCCCTCCCTGTGTCCTGGGCACCTCCACCTTGGTGCCACGATCTCCCTGGCCAGGCTGGGTGGCTCGACTGTCCTGTGACCACATCAGCCATGGTCTCCCTGAGTCAGCCTGAGGATATGTTTGAAACATTAACCTGGCTGCAGGGTGGGTCTGGCACTGGAGTCTTCACAGCAGGTCCTGAGAACAAGGCCAGCGTCCCCAGACTCCTCCTCCTCCTCTTCCTTGGAGACAAGTGTCACTATGGAGACCAGATTGGTCTGAAACTCCTGGTGACCCTCCTGCCTCAGCTTCCCCACAGGTGGGATTACAGGTGCACACCACTGCACCTGGCTCAGAGCCCTCTCCTTGCCTCCCACACACTTCTGGGGTCTGCGGAAGTGGCCTGGGGGGAGGGGACAGCACCCCCAGTCCCCATACTGGTCTCTACCCGGTGCCTGCACCCCTTGGCAGGCTCAGGGCCTGCTTGGAGGATCCCGTGCCTCATCCCTAACCCGTGCAGTAGGTGGGACACTGAAGAGAGGAGACTGGCAGGACAAGTGTCACCGTCCCCTCAGGCCCATCCCGTCAGAGTCACACACTGGACATGGCACCTCCCCACCCCACTTTCCTGGCTCCCGTCACCCTCAGATTGGCTCGTGCTCTTCAGGGACCCTGCAGGCAGACCCCTGTGCCGGCCCTCTCAGCACGGCCCAGCTCCTGACACAGCCCCCTTCCTCTTTCGTGTGAATGGGACCCTTGCAGCCTGTCACCAAGACCAGGAAGACAGCAGCTTACTCAACAAGCTCTAGGATGGTGGCCTGTGCCTCAGTTTAATCAGCCATCAGGAATGGACACTTCCAACCCTCACCCAGACTAAGGCCCTGGCATCAGCCCCTAGCGTCCCTCACCCTCCTTCCCTCTGAAAGAACTCTCCTGCCTCAGCCTCCCAATGCATCCTCACCCCAGAGCAGAGGAATAAGCTGCCCTGAAATCCAAGCCAGAGGCCTGGTCCAGGGGCCATCTGCCCAACAGTCCCCACTGCCACCTGGGAGCCAGCAAGGGCACAGGGACACGCCAGGGCTGCAGGAGCCACTGAGACCCACAGCAACCATGCTGGGGCCCTGGCTGCCCTGGGGCGG